GGGGGGGGGGGATGATTTATCACTGGCATCAATCGAATGAGGAAAAAGGGGTTAGTTGTCATAAGCGCAGCTTTATTCTTATGTTGTTATCGCAATGCTGCAGGGTAAATAGATTTGTGTATGCAGTGCAGTGCGAGTTCTGATGCTCAACCAAGCTAAAACATTAACAAATGAAGAGGGTTAAACATTATCTCGCCTTAACAATTTGACTATACACTTCCAGTGTATCAAGGGAATACTGCCGTCCTAACACACACAGAAACACTCTTTCCATTTAAGAATGTGCTAAGAACAACTACAATGAATCTACACTACATGGTCATAAGTGTGTGGGCTACCCCTTGTGTTTGGTACCTTAATTTCAGTGAGGATTATTATTAATTTATTAATTATGTGCTTCCAACTTTGGGGTAATAGTTTGGGGAGGGCCCTATTGTTCTTGCACAGGTCAATAAATACACGGTACTGAGTCTGATGTGGAAGAACTTGACTGGCCTGCACAAAACACAGACCTGAACCCCAATAAACTCTGTTGAGACAAATTAGAACGGCAACTTTGACCAGGCCACATCACCTCAAGATCAATGCCTGATCTGTTTGTGTCTGAATGGGATCAAATCCCTGTATGCATTCCCACATCTTATAGATTATTCTTATGTTGTTATCGCAATGCTGCAGGGTAAATAGATTTGTGTATGCAGTGCAGTGCGAGTTCTGATGCTCAACCAAGCTAAAACATTAACAAATGAAGAGGGTTAAACATTCTCTCGCCTTAACAATTTGACTATACACTTCCAGTGTATCAAGGGAATACTGCCGTCCTAACACACACAGAAACACTCTTTCCATTTAAGAATGTGCTAAGAACAACTACAATGAATCTACACTACATGGTCATAAGTGTGTGGGCTACCCCTTGTGTTTGGTACCTTAATTTCAGTGAGGACAATTCTAGAGAATTATGTGCTTCCAACTTTGGGGTAATAGTTTGGGGAGGGCCCTATTGTTCTTGCACAGGTCAATAAATACACGGTACTGAGTCTGATGTGGAAGAACTTGACTGGCCTGCACAAAACACAGACCTGAACCCCAATAAACTCTGTTGAGACAAATTAGAACGGCAACTTTGACCAGGCCACATCACCTCAAGATCAATGCCTGATCTGTTTGTGTCTGAATGGGATCAAATCCCTGTATGCATTCCCACATCTTATAGAAAGCCTTTCCAGCAGAGTTAGGAATGACCAACTCCCTATTACTGGCATTTATAAAGCACATACTGAAGCAATGTTCAGGTGTCCACTAACTATTGGCCATATAGTGTACGGGAAACATCCAGTGTTCTCATGTAGGAGTGACAATCTTTATTTCTAATAGCAATAAATCTAACAACAGTGTTCAAACTAGACAACTGTTGATGTAAATGCTGAAGAAATGACTAACTGCCCATGTGTTTTTTGTTTATAACCCTGCTGACCTGTGACACATTCTGTTTACTGACACTGCAGTCATGACGAGATGAATCATACTCATGGAGAGTGAGAAATGAAAGGAGGAAGTATCAGCTTGTGAGACACACTTCACTGCACAAAGCACACACAAAACAAAACAGCTCCATACTAGTGCAAGGGACATGGAAACGGGATGAGTTAATGTCAGGGTAGGAGGCGGATTCGATGGCTGGAAGGGACTGACAGAGACAGCTCCATTTACACAGAAACTTGTTGTGGCAATACCCGAGACACAACTTAAGATGATACATTAGCCTAGAGTTTTATGGGAACATGTACTGGTGGGAAATGTAGGTGGGGTCTGGATCTGAAAGTCACTGGGGAGTCATTTCTAATAGGATGGTTGCGGGAAGATTACGAAAACTGAGGTTTAAGTACCTTGTGTTTGAGGGCCTGCTGTGTCAGTACCTTGTGTGTAAGCATGTGCTGCTTCAGGTGGTGGATCTGCACGAACTCCATGCCGCACTCCGAGCAGACATAGGGACGCACATTCTGGTGCTTCATCAGATGGTTCTGGAGCTGGCTACGGTAGGCGAAGGACTTATGACATTCGGTGCACTGAAAAGTTAACTGCCCATGTGTTTTTTGTTTATAACCCTGCTGACCTGTGACACATTATGTTTACTGACACTGCAGTCATGACGAGATGAATCATACTCATGGAGAGTGAGAAATGAAAGGAGGAAGTATCAGCTTGTGAGACACACTTCACTGCACAAAGCACACACAAAACAAAACAGCTCCATACTAGTGCAAGGGACATGGAAACGGGATGAGTTAATGTCAGGGTAGGAGGCGGATTCGATGGCTGGAAGGGACTGACAGAGACAGCTCCATTTACACAGAAACTTGTTGTGGCAATACCCGAGACACAACTTAAGATGATACATTAGCCTAGAGTTTTATGGGAACATGTACTGGTGGGAAATGTAGGTGGGGTCTGGATCTGAAAGTCACTGGGGAGTCATTTCTAATAGGATGGTTGCGGGAAGATTACGAAAACTGAGGTTTAAGTACCTTGTGTTTGAGGGCCTGCTGTGTCAGTACCTTGTGTGTAAGCATGTGCTGCTTCAGGTGGTGGATCTGCACGAACTCCATGCCGCACTCCGAGCAGACATAGGGACGCACATTCTGGTGCTTCATCAGATGGTTCTGGAGCTGGCTACGGTAGGCGAAGGACTTATGACATTCGGTGCACTGAAAAGTCGTCGGGCCCTGGTGGCTGATGTGGTGGCGCTTGAGGTGGGCGTGAGTGGGGAACTCCATGCCACACTGCGTGCAGACATGACAGTGGCCGCTCTCGTGCTTGGTCTCATGAGTACGTAGCTCACTGGGGTAGGCAAATCCTCGGCCACAGAAGCGGCAGCTGTAAGGCTTGACGTCGCTATGCTGCAACATGTGCCGTTTAAGGTGACTCGTCTGGGTAAAGGCCTTCTTGCAGACGGTGCACTTGTGTGGCCGCGTCCCCTGGTGCGTTAGCAGATGCGTCTGAAGGTGGCTGGGCTGCTTGAAGAGCTTTCCACAATGCAGACACTCATGTGGTTTGATGCCATTGTGACCAAGGATGTGCGTAACCAAGTTGTACTTCGAAGTGTAGGACTTCTCGCACATGCGGCACTTCCAGCGTTTCAGGCCTTCACCCACATCCACACAGTATGATTCGTCGATTTGCACGTTGATATCTAGTCGGTCGATCTGCATCCGTCTACCCAAGGAGTTCTCCCCCTCCGTCCACATCATGGTCTGGCCACCCTCCTCATAGTCTCCCGGTAGGCCCATCTCAGCAGCCTCATATGCTGTCACACTGGACTCATAGTAGCGCCTCATTGCTGGGCTCACGTCCTCCTCTGTGGTTTTCAGGTTCAGTGCTCTCTCCTCCACTTCCTCCTCCTCTTCTTCCTGTTGTTCCTCCTTTCCCCGTCCTTCCACAGAGGATTCCACCAAAGCTTTTCCATGCCCCACAGGGCTTTGGTGGGCTTGCGTCTGAGTGTCAGAGTCAACCTGTTGGCTGGCTGGCTCCCTCGAGGGCTCAGGGTAGCCTTTGTTACACTGCTCTTCTTTCATTGGCACTCTTTGAGGTGTTAGGTCCAACACTTCTGGCTCATTGTCAGTTTCCTGGGGATTCGAGAGATAACATGGGCTAGAGAACTCAGGCCTCTCTCCTTTCACCTGACTCTGTGTGTCCGGAGAAATCTCTGTGGACTCCTCTGGTTCTCCTTTACTCAAGGGCCTCTTGATCCTCCCTCGGGGCCCTGGACGCCTGCGTTCTGCTCCGTAGAGACCTTCTGGCCTCCTGTTCTCCCCGTGAGGCTTGGATAGATAGTCTCCATTGGCTCCAATTAGCTGATCTGCATATTCATACTCCATGGAGTCTGCAGGAGGAGCAGGGCCTTCACGTCCCTCTCCCGTGTAGAAACCGTTTGGGGCAATTGTGGCTCCAAAGATTTCATTCTGTGATATGAGTCCCAGCACAGCAGCCTGGGCCAGGGACAGGACCACCACTGGGTCAGTCTGAGTGCCGACATCCACTGCATGCTCCATCACTTTAGAATAGCAGCGAACCAGAGGAACTTCCTGCTCTTCCTGTCAATGGAGAAAACAACAGGTCTTAGCAATACTTCATAAAATCAGAATCAATGTAGAGTAAATCTGCCATTGCAAGTGTCAATACAATACAGTCATAGCAACAACGTCTGGCTAAGGCTGTCATGGCAACAGTGTCACTACAATAGCAATGAAGTGCAATAGCGTCGCATCTACATGAGTGCCAGAAACAACCAAGTTGACTGATGCAGGGCAACAAATAAGAGCTGTTTAAATAGAGTTTGTGGATTTGCTTTAGAAATAAAAAAAATACAGGCAATTTCTGACAACATGGCAGCGATGTTTTTCTAGAATAGTAAAATTTCACTATTTGGTCAAATAGTGAAAACTCTCATTAAAAATATAAATATATAATTTTTCTATTTTTCACAGCAGTAAGCAAGAGACAGAGTCTGACAACGCATTGCCTCTGTGTCCACCAGAGATTGCTTTAGATAGAAGAGATAAGACAGGTCTGTTTGAGCGCCATGCTTCCTTCCTTCACAGTCTTTAAATGAACACGAAGCACAAAGAGTGTCTGGGTCCGAGTGGGAAGTCTACATCCGTGGACTGCCACTGCTGACTATGAAAAGGATGGACAGTGACGTTTTAGCAGTACCAGCAAGTCCAGTCAATATGCAGACTTCACAGATTGCCTAAAGCCAACGTTATCCAGTTACATGCAGCACCTATAAGAAAAATTGTTCTTTGAGGCTGATGATTATGTTACTTATGTATGGATTAATTAAGGGGAACTTGGTTGAACTCTTAGCACAGGTCACTTTACCACACCTCTGTTCTAGAGTACCAGAACGCCCAAATCACTGTCATGTGCACACAAGTAAATGTATGTGTTCTCAGAAAGTCGTTAACACACATTATCACCTCGAACGAGCTGGGACCTAGCTACACAATACGGATTTAATCTTAAGCAAAAACAAGCATACACAAGGGAAAGAGGGAGGGAAAGACTGACAGCTGTTAAACAGAGGAAGAGAGACAGACAAGCAGAGACAGGGGAAAGAAAAAGAGAAGTGGGTGGGGGCAGAGAGAGAGAGGGAGCGAGAAATGAGACGGGGAACCTGGATGCCCTGATAACCATGTCATTTATAATTACTGCTTTTAAAGCAGTCAGACATAGGGAGAAACAGAGAGAAAAAAGAGCAAGTGAGTGAGTGCAGAAAAAGGGTGATTGAGGAAGCAAGTGAAAGAAGGAAGAGAGAGGAAGGGGAGGGAAGGGAACTGGGGGATGAGAGATAGAATGAAAGACTGGGTGAGGGAGGGGAGTGAGAAAAGAAAGATAAAGAGAGATAAAGAAAGAGTGAGAGGAAAAGAAGAGGGGAGGGAGGGGCGGCAGGGGATGAGAGACCGAAAGAAACTGAGTGAGTGAGAGAGAGTACAACAGAGAGATAAAGAGTGAGGGAGGGGTTGTGGGGAGTGAAAGACTAAAACTAAGGAGACAGAAAGAGAGAGAAAAGATGAGGGTGAGAAATGAGAAAGAAGGAGGGAGGGAATAGGAAAGAGAAGGAGTGTTAAGACAGAAAGACAAATGAAAGAGACAGTCGGGCAAGATAGCAGCCGTGACTGTATGAGAAGAGCTGAAGTGAATATAAAAATAGATTAAAAAAAAGCACAAACTCTAGCAAGTGTAAAGACAAGCACAGAATGAACCTGTTTTTGTGTGTGTGTGTGTGTGTGTGCGAGAGTGAGTAAATGTGAGAGATAGAAAACAGGAGAACCATACTGCATTGGAGGCAGAGAACATGAGGCTAGACTGAAAAAGAGAGAAAGGTTAAAGTACAAATTACACTCTTGTGGTATTCTGTGAGAGAGAAAATAGTTATTTCATATCCCCAGTTTAAAGTTGCAAACTTTAACACAGCAATTAACCAACAGTTCCATTCAATATATCAACACAAGCCACTTCATGCAGCATGTATGTTTGGGTTGAGCACTCACCACATTACTCCTGGTGTGATGTTTGAGATGTTTCAGGGACCTCATCCTTCAAGAGAAGTGAGAGGAGCAAAAAACACCAGCTCCAATTTATAGCTGGGAGAAGCAAAGGGGGCGGAGCCAAGCTCATCCTCCTCCTACTGTTGCTGTTATCAGAACTGACTGTGCCTGCCTCTCTCACACACATACACACACAAACCTGTTTCTTTAATTCTTTTTCTTTTTTCTTTCTTTCTTTCTTTATGTCTCTCTGCCCTCCCTTCCTCACACTCCCCCATCTCTTTCTCCTTTCTTTCTTTCTCTTTCGCTCTCTCTCGCGCATTCACTATCTCTCTTTCTCACGCACATACGGCGTGGCCCCTCAACAAACATATTTCACTCGTACTAACAAAAGCTCACTTCTCAACACACGTACATCCTCTCTTCGATTTAGAGATGATGGCAAACATGTTTCAAGCCACACACACACACACACACACATTGGTTTTTATGGTTTGTGGGGACTCTCCATAGGCGTAATGGTTTTTATACGGTTCAAACCGTATTTTCTATTGCCGTACACCAACCCTACCCCTAAACCTACCCCTTACAGGACACTTTCTGCATTTTTAGATTTTCAAAAAACTAATTCTGAATGATTTCTAAGCCTTTTAAATTACGGGGACACTCAAAATGTCCTCATAAATCACCTTCTCGTTGTAATACCTATGTCATACCCATGTCATTATACAAATTTGTGTCCTCATAAACCACATAAACATGCGCTTACACACACACACACACACACACACACACACACACACGAAGGACTGTGCTGTATACCATCAGTGTGAGAAGAGTGGAAGATATTTTTCATCAGTGAGCAGGAAAGGGCAATCCATGAAAGAGAGAGAAAATCAAACATTGTAGGAGAGTCAGTATATGTGCGTCTGAGTGAGAGAAAGATGTGTGTGTGTGATCGTGAGAGGAAAGGAGGGAGGGAAAAGAGAAAGGACAGGGAGAGAGAGAGATAGGGAGCGAAGGGAAACAGACAGAGATAAAGAGAGATTGAGGGAGGGCATGAGTGAGGGGGAGAGATAGCAGGAAGTTGAGAGAGCGAGAGAGGAGAGAAAATAGAAAGAGTGCAAGGGAAGAAACAAAGAGATAAGACGCAAAAGACAAAGAATCCACATGGAAGAAGAAATGGCCAGGGACGTGTACATAAAACAACACAGAGCTGCCCGCCTGTGGGGAAAACGAAGAGGGGGAGACAACAAAAGTTTGGAAAGAAAGAATATGCTGGCTGGAATACCCATCCAGGCCCATGGGGTTTCCCCCCTCCTTTTAAAAAAAAAAGAAAGGAGAAATGGCTTGAAACCTGTCCTAACCTCATTTGCCCAGAAGTATCAGACTTGTGTGAACCAGTCACACACTCACTCACACACGCAGGGAAGAATATTTGATGAATAATGAACGCCTACTAGTTTCTTCTGCATGTGTGTGTGTGTGTGTGTTTGCTTCTCCACAGGTTTGTGGAATCCATCTACAAGTTTAACCGACAAGTGTGCATGTGTGCACATCACAAGACACTTTTTCTTACGGTTTGTGTATTTCTCCTCCACCTGAAGAGAAGCAATAGGGAACTTTTGTCTGCGTCAATGTGAACGTATGATACTGAGGGAAGTGGGCTTGAACCGGTTGGGTTAGTGGCTGAGATCTGACTGGGATGTGTGTGCATGTGGTCGTTTTCAATTCTCAAAAGCCTCAGTGCTAATGTGACCTGAACAGGGACTTATACACTAGCCCACCGCAGGTGATACGATGGGAAATATGAAACCCTCTACCAGAACATACTGACACCTCCTAACTCCAGTGTGATGCAATAAAGGCAAAAAGGTGTAGCACAAACACAGTGGTCAAGATTTTCAACTGTAAATGCAAGAAATTAAAAATAGAGAGTGGGGTAAACCGTGCCATTTTGTTTACTTAAGTTGTCCTCTAGACAAGGAAAAATGATTATTAATTCAGTATATATATTAGGAATTAATATATATTAATTCCTTTATATATATATATATCACAGAGGACCACATTACAGGGTGTCAAGGTCATCAAGTCTCTTAAAATGCCAGATAATTTGCCCTTTATGTTGAAAAAAAAAAATAATAATAATAATGAAATGAAATATATATATATATAATTTTTTTTTAACAAATACTGATGTTCATTAAAAAAGGGCTCATGAACACATTGTGCCATCTAGCCATATGCACTACAGTTCGAAAGCTTTTTTTTTTTTGGGGGGGGGGAGGGAAATTAATCATTTTATCCAGCAAAAATGCATCCAATTGGCTAGAAGTGACAGTAAAGTTATATAATGTCACACAAGACTTCTATTTCAAATAAATGCTGTTCATTTGAACATTCTAGTCATCATTTTATCAAAAATTATACATAATAGTTTCCACAAAATAGTAGCACCACTGTTTTTAGCTGAAATGTTTCTTGAGCACCAAATCAACATATTAAAAAGATTTCTGAGGGTTCATGCAACACTGAAGTAATGGCTACTGAAAATTCAGCTTTGTCATTACAAAAAAATTAACTGAAAGTTGTAGTAATATTTCCCTATATTACTGTTATTTTATCAAAAAAATGCAGCCTTGGTGAGCATAAGACTCCTTTCAAAAATATAAAAAAACTTTTGAACAGTAGTGTACATTTTTATACATGGATAAGTTTGTTTTGACATAAACTTCATTCTACCTACCACAGAAATAATTTACTTTGCCATAAACCTCTCTAGAAAACTATTACTTTCTAAATGTTTGCTTTCTATGTAATGACATGATAAAAAAACTGCTGTTTGCTAGATTTCATGCTGTCATTATAATCTAAACATATCTCCATGATAAATGATTTTTTCAAACATGAAACAAACAAAGCCAGATGTTAACCTGTTATTCAGGCTGCAAGATCATGACTCTGTGCTACTGTGAGTGAGATTGGGTTTAGCGGAGCTCTTGAGAGGCGTCAAAGCGAGTACAGCTAGCCTTCAGCTCTAACTCCCTCCAGCACTGCCACTTATTAACCACTGAAACTCAATGGACATAACCTTTGACCCCAAGCCAGACATTACTGCCAGCAGTTAGTTCCTTTCTAAATTAACTTCTAAATCATTTGTCCACTTGTGTGAGCATGTTATGAAGACAGACTGCGGGAGCTAGTTTACCCAAACACTGAGTTACAGCACTTCATATGTCAATACCATCCTGAATGTCTTAATCTCAGCCACGCAAAGTTGAACCTCGGCCCTGATGATCCTGCGCTCTTGATTTCAATGTTTGTGTATTTTGGTTGCAGCCCTTCTGAGAAAATCACACTCAGATACACGAGCGCACACACAAACACAGAAGATGCAAAGAAGAGAGGCTCTCCAAATCCTGAATAAAAGATTACCCCCCTCATTCAGCATGGGGGTTACAGATAAAATGTTGGACAGAATATTGGGCAAGAAATGGTTCTGCCGAGAGAACCGAGAGGAAATAGAGTGAATAGAAAAGAGAAAGACAGTTGAGGGAGGAGAGCATTCAGCACAGGATATAAAAGGAACAGAGAGAGAGAGAGAGAAAAGAAACAGGAGAGTGGGGGAGAGAGAGAGCGAGAGAGAGAAGAAGAGCGAGAAAAGGAGAAAGAGGAGAGAGAGAGAGAGAAGGGGGAGGGAGGATGAGCGAGAGAGAAAGAAACAGAAAGAGGAAAGGGAGAGAGACAGTGAGAGAAAGACAGGAGAGAAGGGGGAAGGGAGGGAGATAGAAAGAAAAGAGACACACAAGAGACTAAAAAAACACATAATAAAAAAAGCAATGTCTGGCTTCGGCTCCATGAAGATAGACAAATATGAATGTAAATAGGAGGCTATATTGTACGCATCTGAATGAGGCGGGAGTCCACACCCTGCAAAACTCAGCTGCGAAGGCACAAGTTCATTGTGTCAGGCCTAGAAGCATTCAGGAGCGCCACTCCTCTGCATGCATGCGTATCCCTGCGGTTTGAGGTTGGGAGGTCAAAGCCTCGGCTGACTCCCGCCGCTGCCTTCAAGAGAACAGTTGCCTCCTGCCTCGCATGCCGTTTCATCTCATAATCCTGCTAATGGCAGTTAAATGGGCCGACGACACGAGTCTGGCTGCCTAGTATCACATCCAATTTCAGCATCCATCTACGCAGCGGCCCGCGCTCAAATGAAGAGGCCTGTAAATACTATTGGGTCTGACGCCTGACAGTAGGCAAAGTCTCATTTGCAGGGCCTCATAAATAGCATGGAAGAAGCGGCCGTCCTTCTGCAACCTCGTGCTCTTTTGTATTTCTCCCTCACCTCACGGTAACAAATTTCAACCTGAATTACTTTTTCTTTCTCCCAAGTTTCATTCTTTTAAATCAAACCCCTTTGTCTCTCTCTTCTTTTGTACCTTCTTCTTGTTTCCATGGTTACCCCTCTCTTTGCGCTGTACACTATCTATCTCTCCCTCCGTTTCCCTCTCTGTCTCTCTCACTCTGTTCTTATCTTTCTCATTTTGCTTTCATCTCTGCCTCCCTTCCTCCTGCTTTATCCCACACCCTCCTCACTCCGGCTTTTATCTCCTTTCACTTTCATCTGTCTTTCACCTTTCTCTCCCCTTCAAGCCTGCCATTCCATCATGCTGTTTTTTCCCCCCGTTTCTTACTTATGGAGAGCGAGAGAGAGCAGGAGAGCGAGAGAAAAGTTTCATCTGTTGCCCTATCAATTCTGCATTTTTAATCACTTTCCCTGTTTCGTTTCCACTGGCACAATCTCTCATTTACATGCGTGCTAGACAGAGTGGTCAGTTCTTCAGCGCTCATCCCTGGGCGGCTTCTCTGTTCTTCAAGCTTTCGGAAGAAGGTCTAGTGTGCAAACAATTACAGGATGAATCAACCCTGATTTTGTGTGTCTTCATCTTGCTGCGGCTACTTCAGCATGGTGTAGATGTATGTGATGTGTTTATGATTAACGTCAAAGTGAACTGTTGATTGCAAACCATTTCACTTCCATAATGTGATGCATTACTAAGTGAAACTGGATG